GCCCCGTTTCACACGTGTCGTTTTTTGCAGGGTCCCTGTCCAAGGCCCTAGCGCCATAGATCACCTGCTCATGTCCACTGGCCTCCTCGGCTAGCCCCGCCTTGAGACCCGTGGCGCTGCTTCGTGGACTGTAACGCCCGGAAGGGCCCTCACGTGCGGGCGCTGCTGCCCGCGGTCGCGGCGCCCGCGCACGGACAGGATTAGCGAGAAGGCCTCGCCCACTCTGCTCCGGGCACTGCTAGCTCAGCCCCTCATGCCGGGTCATCGCCCGCTTGGACCTTAGGGAGCGCCCCCGCCGCCGCCCCCGTCTCTTGATGAGGAGCACTGGGCCCGTCTGGCGCGTCTCCGCTCCAGCGGGCCGCTGTGAACGAGGACACAGCCTTTGCCTCTGCTCTAGTCTCTGGCTGGCCGGGTCCCACGGCCCCCGAGCACCTTCCGGTGGCTGGACCTCAGATTCAGGGCTCGCGTCCCGGCATCTGGGGGTCGGCCCCGCCGCGCCTGGCCACCTGCGCCCTCTCCCGTGGTCCCTCTCTTCCCGTCTTGTCCCTTCCCGGAAGGCCCCGCCCTGGCCCCGCCTTTGGCACCCCGGGGGCCCGCCCTGCCAGGCCGAACGCCCTCCGGGAGGGACCCCCCCTCTTCCAGTGGCCGTGGCCTCGGCTGCACTGAAGGCCACTTGTCTTTACAACGTGTGGTTCCCGGCTCACTGGCCTCGCCCAGAAACCTCCACCGATAGGTCCTCCGGAACCCGCAGTCTGTCCACGCGCCTTCAGCACTGAGGCTTCGGGCAGCTCTACTGCCAGTCGCGCACCAGGTGGCCGTTCCTGGCACGGCCTTCCAGGGCGGGGCGTGCGCTGTGGCTCCCTGTGCCCGGGGCTGCCGCTCCCCGCCACACAGAGGCCAGGTCGCCCCGCAGGGTCTTCCCCGGCTGGACAGCCTGGGCGCGCGCCCTTGCCACACCAGCTCTGGGCTTAGTTTTTCTTTCCCTCAAGTTCTGGTTGGTTTCTGTCAACAGCTTCTTGCCAACCTGGAGACACAGGGTCTCCGCATCTTCACAGCCCTTTCAGAAAGTGGGTCCCGATGACCTCAAAACTTCTCTCAGGGTTTTCTGGAAAAGTCCCACCTGTCACTGCTAACTCCAAACGCTGATGGCTGGTCACTGCCGGGACATCCCGGCCACAGACAACGAGTTTTGCCAGGAGACTGTGTCTCTGCTCCTCAGACGTTACACTTCTGCTCAGTCCTGCCCCCAGCATGAGCAGCTACCCAGCAGGGCCGGGTGTGTCCATGTAAAGGTGTCAGTGACGCATTAAAGCCAATGTGTGAGTGGACACGTGGCCTCTGGCTCTTGCTTTGTGGGCGCTTGCTTGTCCCTAGAGAGGACAGCCTGGCGGTTCAGAGCAGACAGCCACTTGGGTCCAGGGGACCCAGGCAGGACCCCAGTGGGCCCTTGCCCAGAGCATGCTGCACCCTCCTGACCCTCTGAGGCTCCCAGTGGCACGTGCAGTTGTCGGCCCCGGCCGACAGCAGGGGGTCACCTCACGCCCAGTGACTCTGGCTTCTTGAGTGTCAGGCACCCGCAGGGGCTGGCTGGCCCTCACACTAGTCTGTGTCCACACCCCTCAGGCACTTGTTTGCATCTTCCCCACCACCTGCCAGTGTAAGTCACTCAGGCTGGTTCAGTCAGAGGCCAGCAAGTCTGACCGTGGGCCAGGCAGGCCTCACTCATGGAATAGGGCCAGATGGAGCGACAGGGCAGGAGGCCACATGGGAGGCCAGAGCAGCCACCCACCCACCCGCCCAGGCTGAGGCAAGGGTCCCCAAAAGCCCCAAGAGGCCACACACCCAGGACTGTCACAGGGGCACACCTGTGGGGGCTCACCTGCCCCCACAACTGCAGAGCCCAGGGGTATATCTGGGGACGCCTCACCCAGATGGCACCCTTGACAGTCACTGTCAGTCACCAGGAGTCTAGACAGCAGTGGCCAGCGTGACGGTCACTGCAGGTCCCTCAGAGGCAGGGTCAGGACACCCAGTGTCCACGGCTGTGAGTTGTCGGGCGACACCAGGAACAACAGCTGAGACTCTGGCAGGACTCGGGCTCCCTTCAGGGGTGCCCGCGCAGGGGGCTGCCCGCAGCGGCTTCTTTTCCTTCTTGTGGGGCTGGAACAGCTCTCTCTCTTGCACCCTGAGGGACTGGAACTGCCCCTCCAGGGGCCTTGGACCCTGGCTTATATCCTCTTCGAGGGAGCCCCACCCACAAGTCTGATTGGACCACTTTTCTATCCTGTGACTGATTGGGCCGTTTTCCACCAATCAGCTCATAGCTCACAGCTGATTGGTCCATTCCACGATCCAGGAAGCTCCATGCTGCATAAAGGCCCAGAGGTGCAGCTGCCACCTCTGTCGTAGGTGGTGCCTCGGGGAGGCAGCCGCTTTGCTTCTGGTGGCTCCTGGCCAGCACTGGCTGGCGGCGCTGCACCCCGGTGTTGGCACTGGGTCGCGCGGCCACCTCCGCCTGTGCGCAAGGCCCCGCTGTGAGTTTTGACTTAAACATGGAGGGACTCGCGGCCCAGGCGCCCGTTTCTCCGAGCTCTCGCGGTTGTGTGAAGTGAGCAGGTCAGGGCGGCGGGGTGGCCGGCCGGGCGCCCAGGGCCTCTCGGAAGGCCTCACCCGCTGGCCGCAGCACCTGCCTCACCTCCAGGTGCACCCGCTCCCCAGGAGAGCGGGCAGCCTGCTTAGCAAAACCCTGGCATTCCCTCTGAGGCTTCGTGGCAGCCGCCTATTTGTTTTCTTCCACAAGTTCCTTTTAAAACCCGGTGAAGCTATTTCGATGGCCTTGGCAGGACCCCTCGAGGCCCAGCATTTTACCAGCGTTGAAGCTTTGTGTGGTGGTGGCGCTTCAGCCGGCCGGAAGCTCTCGGCCCCGCCGCGGCCCTCTGCTGGAGGCGGAGGGAACGGCGGGCCGGCCGCAGGGCCCAGCTCAGCGCCTGCCGGTCCCGCTGCCCACGACCTGCTCGGCTCTCGGTCAGTGTTGGCTGTCACGTGGTGACGTCGGCGGGGGTTGGGGGGTGTTGAGGGCCAAGGGTGGCAGGGAGCTGGGGCACCCGGTAGGGGGCATCAGGCCTGGGGCTGGCCAGAGGGGCTGGGCAGCAGGCTGGGGACACCGGACAGAGCAGGAGGACACGCAGGGCAGAGGCGTCCTCCTAGCAGCCTCTGTCATCCAGCGCGGCACTTCTTGTTGTCCGTCCGTCAGGCTGCAAGTCAGCTTTGCCACCAAGTGCGGTGTCCCACGGCCAGAGCGCGCCCTGTCCCAGCACCTGCCCTCTCCCTGGCCTCTGTCCTGTGGTTGTCAGGAGGCCCTGACCCTGGCGTCGCTCTGGCCGTGGGGGCGGCGCCTGCGCGTCACAGGGAGGGCAGACGTCCGGGACCCGAGTCCAGCGTCGGCCTCGGCCCGCCCCCGCGGCGCCCCCACAGCGCCAAGGCCTCGGGCGCAGCCTCGCGCTGCCCGGCGTTTCTCCCCCACACCCTGGTCCAGCAGTCGCCTCTCCTGCACGCAGGGCCGCCCTGGTGCCTGTAGCTGGGGCGTGGGGGGGGCAGGGGGCGGGGACCCAGCCCTCGGCCCCTTG